ATTTATACTTAGAGATATAGAACATAGTAATAGTAGTAAGCGTATTCTTTTTCTTAGTAGCTATAAGATCTTATAGTAACTTAGTAATATAGTCCTTCTGCTATTAGTTAGTAAGGATAAACTCTTTTAGCCCTTCTAGCACTTAGTATTTACTTATAATTACCTCTACTTACTTAGCTACGTTAGGTAGTAGTATGTACTTAGGGTAAACTGCCCTTAGCTGCCTAGTGGTGTTATTACCTTATGTATTACTTATGCCTTTTTTACCTTAGTAGCTTATCTTAGTTACTTACTTATAATTACCCTCTGTTAGCCTAACTACCTCTTAGTTATAGGCGTTTCCCTTAACTACTATTAAAAGGCGTATATATCTGTTAGGGGATTTACTACTAGTAGTATAGGTAATTATAAAGACTTATAGTTAAATAAAAAAACTTAGAAAAGAAAGGCTTATAATAGGCTTATAGATAATAAAGGCTATTATGTTAGTAACATAAAATAACTTAAAAAAAAAATAAAAAAAAATATTTTAAAAAAAAAGTTAGTAAGCTTTATAAGCTTATAACAAAAAGAAGGTAAAAAGTAAATAGTTACTAATTAATAATAGGTTAGCGTATAAAGTAAGGTGTTTTTTATAGTTAAGAGTGCCTTTTATAAAGTAATAAGGCTTATATATATAGATATAAATTACTAGGCCTTTACTAACTATAGGAGGTTAGGTATTATTATCTTAGAGATTAACCTATAAAGGCATATAGTATAATAGCGTTATAAGGGTATTTATAGTAACGTTTTTTAGTAGGGCCTACTTTAGGCCTTTATAAGTAGTTAATAACGTTATTAGCTCTTCTTATAATACCTTACTAATCTATAGTATTTTTAGTAGTAGTTATAGTAAAGTTAACTACTAATTAGTATTAGTTTTACTAGGTTAGTAATATAGTTAACTATATGTATTAATAGGCAGTAATAAATAATAGGGGTAAATACTAGTTCTAAATTATATGTAAAGAAAAAAAAACTATTATAGGATTATATAGTAAATCTACTGCATAATATCCCTATAAATCTAGTAGATCTATAGCAAATTAGCTGTAGTTATTCTAGCTGTTTAGCGTTAATTTATACTGCTAATATCTAGGTAATAGTTAATATTATAATAATTAATAATACCACTAGCCCTAATAGCCTTATGCTAACCTTACTTGTTTTTAGTGTATACCTTTATATTATAGATAAGTTACTACTTACCCCTTCTACTATATAACAAGCTAAAGTAGTAAAAAAGGCTATAAATATAGTGTAGTAAATCTACATAAGGAGATAAGTATATAATACACTAGTAATATATAATAGCCTAGATATAATAAATACTATAGTGCTACCTCTTTAATTACTTATTTATATATAGTATAAAAAGAATAGCTAGTAAGGCCTATTTTACCTACTTACTAATAATAGTACTACTTATACTATTAAATTACCTTACAGCCTATATAATTCTTATATTACTATAGTAAAACTATACTATATAGTATAAGAAGAAGGCTAATTAGCGCTACTGCCTACACTAGCTAAAGGAAATAATAAGCCTATATAAGTATAAGAGAGCCTATAATAGCTGGTAAATCTATAGAAGAAGTATATAATACTATTATTATTAATAACAGGCTGCCCTTATAATAAGGATATAGCTGCTTATAAAAGAACCTAATTACTACCTTTTTTTATAAGATACACCTTACTATTAACGTCTTTAATATATACCTTACTATAAAGAAGGAAGCTAACTATATACTTACTATTAAACTATAAAAAAAAGGTATTATTACTAAACCTAGTAAGCCCTTTAAAGAATTTAATAAGGTAGAGGTAAAAGCCCTTATTAACTATAGTGTATTTTAAATTATTACCTATAATAAGAAAACGTATAGTAATATATAGATCTTTAAGTTATATATAGTATATAAGGTTAAAAAAAAATTAAGTAACTATATAAGAAATTATAGTTAGTTATCTAAGGTTATACTAATAATAGTAAGAAAATAATTCTTATATAGTTACTTATAATCTAATAGATAGCTTAGTAACTAATCCTTACTTTTACCCCTTTACTTTTATAATATAGATTTTACCTCTAGTTATATAATATTACCTAAGCGTATACCTAATCTATAATACCACTTAACTACGTTATTCTTATAAGACTTCTTATATAAATTTACTATTTTTACCTTAATAACTTTATTATAAAAGTAATAAAGCCGCTCTATAGTATTACTAAGGCAGGCACCTACTAGTAGGCTATATATAACTACTATTATAAAGAGAATCTCTAAATAGATTTATTAACCTTTAACCTTTACCTACTTATTTTATTACCTAATAATAAGGATTTTAGCCTTATTAGTATATAAATAGATAATATAATTAGCCTTATAGATAATAGATTCTCTATCTATAAGGAGAAAAAGCTTAAGAAGGTAACCTTTACTATAAAGCCTAAGTAACTATTAACTATTAATAATTTTATTACCTTTAATAGCAGTATGCTTTCCCTTAGCTATAATAGTAAAATAAATTTTTACTAAAAAGATTAAGGTAAGAAGCTCTAGCCTGTTAATATAAATTTACTTACTACTAAGTAAGATTTTATTTAGTAAAAGGCCTATAAGGTATATATTATATTAATTTACTAACCTAAGGCTTACTTTAACTATTTAGTCACTATATAACACTAAGAGCCTATAAAGAAGGAGATTAAGGCTCTTAATTACTAGATTAAATAGTAAATAAGTTACCTTAACTATAGCCTACTCTTTTAGCTAATTAATCTTATAACTATAAAGCTCTTTATATTTATTAATAGCTTATTTATAAATAACTATAATTTTACCTTATAACTTAGCTTTATTATTATACTTACTAATAAAAGTAATATTATATAACCTACTACTAATAATAAGAAATTTATACTTAATAGTAATATTATCTACTTTAGCTTAATAAAGTATAAAAAAGTTATATATAGTATACTAGCCTCTAAAGTCTATAGTATAGTTACTAGCACTAATATTACTTATATAATTAGCACTATACTTATAATAATTACTAACTACCTTAAGTTACTATAAATCCTAATAATCTTTTATACTAACTTATACTCCCTCTATAAGTACCTTATAAAGCTTAGTACTACTAAAAAGAAGTAACTTATAATTAATATTATAACGCTTTACTAGTTATATAAGTAATATAAGATCTATAAGATCTAATAGATATAAGAAAAAAATAACCTAGTAGATAGATTTATAAAGGTATTACCTAATAAAGCGCTAGAGTAGTTAATTAATAGTAGTTAATTAGAGATATAAATAAATAAATAGGTTTTATATATATAATAGGTTATATATATAAAAAGTATTAAATACTTCTTAGCTTTTTGTTTTTATTACGTTTTTAGGCCCTTTATAAATAACTAAAAAATAAGATAATTTATAGCACTTTAGAAGGTTACTAGTGTTATAATATTAACTATTACCTAGATATTAGTAGTATAGATTAACGCTAAACGGCTAGAATAACTACAGCTAATTTACTATAGATCTACCGGATTCATAGGGATATTACGCAGTAGATTTGCTACGTAATCCTTTAATAGTTTCTTTTCCTTTACGTATAATTCAGAACCAGTATTTACCCCTATTATTTGTCACTGCCTATTAATACGTACGGTTAACCGTATCACCAACCTGGTGAAACCAACAGGATCTTACCCTCTCTAGCATGGACATAGCCATCTCTCTGGCAAATGCCATGACTGCAACTTTGCTACCAGCGTAGGCAACTTGAGGAGTGGCTGATCCCACGATGGAACATAACCATACTAGCGGTGTTGATGATGCTACCCTTCTTCTTGCCATGCTTGCGCAACGACCTCACAGCATGCTTGCTACCGTACCAGACGCCCTTCACGTTAATATCAAAAGTCTTGTCCCAGATATCGACCGGGTACTCTTCCGCATCACCATCGCATGGGTGCATGATGCCTGCGTTGTTGACGATACCACATAACTCACCCCAGCTGTCTAAGTGAGCAATAGCTCACTCGACTTCGCGCTCATTCGAAACGTCCATAAGACGAGCCTCCGGGCGTGCGCAAACATTTCCTACAACCTCCGTTACCGCTAGTGGGCACTTTATCCCCCAAACCCGAACTTCTAGACCATCGATCCGCTAACCCTGTCAGCCGTCTCATTTAAGCGCAGGGTCTAGCGACTACGCTGTTCATCTAGCGACCACGCTGTCCATCTAGTAATAGGGGTCCGGGTTGAAGCGGCGGATCTTACGGAGTTGGAGTTTGGCTTGTTGCTCGATTCCGCTCATCGCAAATTGCTTTCCTTATTAGACGTAGTAGTAACATCGAGGGGAGGTGTTTACGCTTCATGAACATTTCTTTGTATGAGGGCTAAAAATAGGGAAAAAACAACAGTAGTCCAGGCGCCCTGCGAAGCTGATCTCACTGATTTCACTCGTCACGTGCAGAGCTTCTGAGGCTTCGCCGCAGGACCAAGCTCACTTATCAGGCATTCACATCAATGAGTGGGCAAGCGGGATTGGTGGTGGAATTAAGGATTCGATTGTGTAAGTGTCGTGAAGCTGGAATAGCTTCGTGTGGCTAGTACCAGTAGGCACCGCCACGTATGTGGCGGACCACACGCACAGACCATGTGAGAAGGGTATTTCTACTACTTCTCCAGTTCATACGTAGTTTCTTAATAGGACAACTACTTTACTCTCAAATGACCAGACGCTGCGGTTCATCACAGTAAGCGTTTAATAGAAAGCCCTAGCATTAACAACCAATCATTCTTATCTGATTTATTAAGCTAGGAGTGACTCAATCTAGTTCCCTGCTGTAGCTATTTCGAAGCGACGTAACTGGTCTCTGGGTAAACAGCGCATCATCGGCGAGCAACTCCAGGGTGGGCAGCCTCCGCTTAAGCGGTGACGAGGATATAGTACTGCGAGGTTGCCTGATCAGCAGTACCAATGCGGAGAAAGCCAATGTCGTTATAAAGGGTATTTTCGGGCGCAGCAACGCCCGCAGAATCGACGGCGGTGCACTGGAGCTTGTTGGCTGCGCCCTTAACACAATAGACGGGGCTCATCCTGAAACGACTGGCACTGACTACGGCTGGGTCAGAGATACGGAACAAATGGGCAGGGTTGAATCGGCCGTTGGGGTCGGTGACGAGACTGATGGCAGAACTAATAGTGACTGATCGAAGGCGGCACAAGGTAGGGTTGGCTGAGTCGGCGACGAAGTCAAACTTGGAGGCGCCAGCGAGGTCGACGGTCTGGGTAAAGTCGACCCAGAAGGAGTTGCCGCTGATGTAAGTGTCTTCTGCGAGGACACCGTAATTCATGTTGCCGTCAGCGCTGCCCTGCTGCTGGATGGCGTAGGTGCCGGTAGGGCAGGCGGCGGCGGGGGTAGAGGTCGAGGTAACTGTTGAGGTGACCGTCTTGGTCGAAGCAGTGACGCCGGCACAAGAGCAGGCCGAGGCGTACTGGGCCGAGTTAGAGCAGCCGGAGGCGTACGTGGGGATTGCAGGAGCGGCGCGCTTAGCAAGTTGCGTAATCATGATATTGGGGTCGACGACGGCGCGCTTGACCTTACCGGCGGCAGCGGCAGCGGCAGCTACGGTGGTGGTCGTGACGACTGTCGAGGTGACGGTCTGGAAGGCCTGGCAGTCTGCGGTGCCGGAGCGCGTAGGGAAGGCTGAAGCCCTGACCTGGCGCAGGCAGTTGTCGGCATTGCACTTGGTCGGGGAGGGAGCCGGGGCGGCGATGGCATTGACGGCACTGATGAGGCTGGAGGCCAGGGCGACGGTGTTAAAGAACTGCATATTTCTTCGCGGGATCAAGCATAGGAAAGCCCTGGAGTGAACAATATGTCTCTACCTATGAAGATGGAGATGAAAATGGAGTTGCCTGACAGGGAGAGGGAGGGCTGTGGGCATCATCTTTATACGCTCTCGTAGGAGCAGAGAAGATGGCTTTAGGCCTGTCGTCTGCGATGCGCCATGCGGCACTCACCTGGACCCAGATCTTCGCATACCTAGAGGAAGCCACACCTAGAATTGTGATGCTTAGCATCGAAGGGCTGAGGCGGCAGATCAGCTGGACCGCTAATGGCGATCCCATATAGCTAGCTGCATAACCTTTTGTCCAGGTAGAGTAAATAAGCATATGTGGCGGAGTCGATTTCTGAGCCAGCTATTGTCTAAAGTCGCCGCTGTTATTCACTCAATGTGGTGGTAGGTAGTTATGACCATCACGAGGCCACGGCGGCGTGTTCGAAGCTTCCATCGTTCGCTTAGTATGGTGGAACTAACGGCAAGCGCCGGACCATTAGGCCGCTGGTCGGCCGGTCGCAGTATAACAAAGCCGCGCAAGAAAATAAAGGATAACCTAGAGACTTCCATATGAGAAGCAACTATGCTGGAGTTTGGCGAACTCTACCGCAATGTCCTTTTCTGAAAAGACGAACCCCCCAAAAAGCTTTGCCTACGAAGGAATTTCCTGGATGAAGGAACAGTCGGTCAACAACTCGGCTCCGTTACTCACGGACATCTCGAATCGTTACGTCGCGCTTGATCCCCAGGGCACCAGGGGATAAAAGGAAATGAAGAGGCTGATAGCCTAGCCAAGGGGGGCACAACGCTGCCAGTCCCCAGAGGCCTACTAGCTACCCTATCAGGGATCAAACGGCTTACTCAGGAGCGCATACAATACCAGCATAGGGAATGGTGGAGGCAAGAGGCTCATTATGGCAAAATTGTTACTGTTTCTGGTTTCCTTTCTCTCTCTCTTACAACTGTCTCTTCAGCAAGGTCCAGAATGTAGCGCAACGCAACTCTGTCCCATCGGATGCTGCTCCAAGTCCGGATATTGTGGCGCCGGACCTGATTTCTGCGGGTGAGTGAGAAGCACCAGGTCGAAAAGTCCTGGCAAGAAGACAAATGCCATGTGTAATTGTTGGGGAAATGGAACTAATTCGATGTTGGCTTAGCACCGGATGTCTAAGTACTTGTGATTTCAAAGCAGACTGCAACCCCAGACTGCAACCCAGGATGGGACAGTTCAAAATGGAGCAAGTCCGAGACATGCCCTCTCAACGTCTGCTGCAGCAAGTTTGGATTCTGTGGTACGACGAAGGACTTTTGCGGCGACGAAACTGTAAAGGTCAGTCCATTATCCACACCCGCTGATGGTCTCTTGACAAACATCCAAAACGAACAAATGTGAATTCATTGACTGATAACTGTTGATTGGGATTTCAGCAACCATCATGCAGCGTCGGCAATACTCCCATCACTCGTGTGGTCGGCTACTACGAAGCTTGGTCCACAACGAACCGCCCCTGCTACGGCATGCTGCTGGAGGAGATTCCGTTCGGATACTACACCGATATCATCTTCTCCTTCGCCACAATGGACCCAAAAACCATTGAGATACAGGCCGGTGACTCCAAGACGGCGCAATTCATGCAGCGGATCAACGCCATCAAGCTTATCCAGTCAGACATCAAGATCCGGATTGCGGTGGGCGGGTGGGCCTTTAATGATCCCGGTCCGACGCAGACCACGTTCGGTGACATGGCTGCTTCAACGTCTGCCACTAAAAGTTTCATCGACTCTCTCATCAAGATGATGAACAAGTACGACTTTGACGGTATCGACGTTGATTGGTAAGTTTGGAAGCCACAGGAACAGCGGCGTGTGCATGCCCGGGTGCAACGACGACGAGGTAAAGGTCGGCTCGTTGCGCGTCGGCTGCAACTTCTCGCACCAGGCGGCGTGCTGCACCAGCGAGGAATCCACCTCCGCCTACGGGTCGTGCAAGTGGGTTGGGGAGGCGCCGACGTGCAACCAGGACTGCCCCAGCGACTACCCGAACAAGATCTTCTCGTCAAAGATGGCCGCCGGGGGCGAGCAGCCGTGCATATCCGGGACGAAGCACTACTGCTGCCGGGAACCCAAGCCGGCGGCGTTTTCCAAGTGCGACTGGCACAACAAGGCGAGCCCGCGCAGGTTCGAACAGGACTTCATCTGCGAGGACAGCTGTCCCAGCGGCCAGATCAAGCTGGCCACCGAGGTTGGCGGCATGGGCGCCAGCAACGGTTGCTTCGGCGGTGCCAGGGCGTATTGTTGCGAACCGCCCCCCAAGCCCGTTGTTCCCCGCGGCGACGATGATCCCTTTGGAGGAACGCAGAACAAGGAGTTCCAGCTGCTCCTCGAGAAGTATATGGAGTACCCGCCGTGCCCGGCCACGATTCTGCGCCCAAAACTGGGCGACATGTTCACCAACGTGAAGCGTTCCCTCGAGTTCGAGGCCTCCCAGGCCCGGGATTTGCAAGGCAGGGCTACGAACTGCGAGATGGATCGTTATGTGAGGATGGTCGGGTTCGGCGTCGCTCTGCTCACCAAGGAGTCAGACCTGATTGGACCGTTGCAGCCTGTTTATGATGAGATATTTGCCGGAGCCTACGACGAGGCCATCACGGCAGAGAAACTCAGGGCGCACTATCAACGCAATCCTGAACTCGACCCCAACGCTGTCATGCAATACGTCTTCCTTAACCCCAAGGCTGCCGGCCCGGGACTTAGGCGGGCCGCGCAGGCGTCTGAGACGTTTTGCTGGCTGCCCACTACGAGAAAACGCGATGGAAAGGCGTTGTCGGAGACCTCCCGCCATGTAAGTGAGGAAGCTTTGGTCGCCTTTCCCCCCTACCCCATGACTTGTTTTGCACTTTGGCTGATTAGTATGCGTGTCGTTACTCCAGCCTTCCGATGTGGGTAAACGATGGGTGTGGTGGTTGCCCAACGACGAGAACGGCACCCCCGATATCTCGACCATTCTGGGAGGCATTTTGAATGGCGACCTGAGCCTGCACTATGCGCGCTGGCAGAACCTATCGCAGCAGAACGTTCCAATGCTCGAGCTGGGTTACTGGATAGGACGGACCCCCGGCGCGGCCGGCGGCAATGACATGTACCGAGATCCCTATATGGCGGATGGCGGCCCCCAGGACCGCTGGGTCGTGTTCCACATGCACATTGACGAGGCACCTTGCCTGAACTAGGTACCCAAGAACCAAGAGCGGCAAGCAGTACTAGTAAGGGCTGGGCAGAGGGGTTACCTCACCTCATACTTACAAAAGGAAATGGAGTAGGGTCAGGGACAATATAATAGTTTTTATTCCTCTTTTTCTGTTTACTTTTTTAACTCTCTTATGTTAAAGATCTCACTGTATATATTGATGATAATATTGTTGTCGATTAAAGCACACTCTGTCATTGTTAATGTCGATTGGTAACGGGAAGGCACCTCATCTACCCGCTGGAGTTGACGAACAGGTTTCGGTTTCTGGCTATAATCATCTTCAATGCACCAAACAGTCACATACGACCATACCCAAATGCGCGAAAGAAGTGGAACTCCTCAGCTGTTTCACATCTGTAAGAAGTCAGGCCTTATATACCACTTTTGACAGATACAGACACATGTGCCTCAGAAATACAATTTCCTTTGTCAGGGTTAAATGCTCTCACAAGCTAGAGCACACAGCAAATAAGGAGATATAAATAAGTAAAGAAAAGGCTTAAATTATATAAAGACAAATCTCCTAAGTAGAGGGCCTATATAAAGGGGGCCCTTAAGCTTGTTTATATAACATGGCATGTGGTGTAGCTGACGGCAACCGCCACACATACATGAGCCTCCTGTGATAAATGCCTAGCTTGTAAGAAAATTACAGGTGATAGCTAGATAGACGTAGATAGTAGATAATCACGACACGGCACCTTGACTACAGCAAGAGACACGCTCACTTTCGTTTCTGTCTCAGTCTACTTAGGCGTCTGAAGATCGTTGCTTCTGCTTTTTTGAAGCTGTTTTGATCGATTTTGCTTTACTAATCTCTCTCCAACTGTGTGTTCTTTTTACTACTGTGTGCGGCTATCATTGTACACCTACGCGACCTGAAGGGGCAACGCCTTGTATTTGTACCTCAGCCCAGACTTTCTTGGATGTATTGATATGGTAGCGAGTATTTTGCCCGCATCTGACTGTATCTAGCAACCACTAAGCCTCAACAACCAGAAATACCATGTTCCGTTCCACGAATCCTAACCCACGCTGACCGTAGCCCTCGTCAGTACTGCATGGTATTTCCGGCTGCCTTCCTGATTAGGTTAGACGCCGGTAAGATAGCAAAATTACACCGCTTACCTAGCGATATATAAAGATATTACAAGAGCACAACTAGCAATTCGCTTCAGTGTTCACGATCGTCAGTACAACAAAGACCATCTTGTCTGTTCCCCGCGCCAGCTCCTCAATCCGTGTTTGCTCTGTCCGGCATCTTCAAGCTTTTCTTCTGTCCGATCCGCGCTTCCACGATCACGCAACGCTCACTGGAGTCGAGCCTAGTCATGAAATCAGGCACTATAGCGAGCAGCGCCATAGCTGTGTCCGCTGCCCTTGTGGCAGGGGAATCTTACTCACAGTCAACAACATGCGTGTGTTGCCGTCCCCCCCCTCTCCTGTCAAGGTGCCACATGATAGACCATTCGGGTGTTGCTGATATAGTACTGACCATCAGTATATAGTGCTCAAATCTGAGTGTCATATCGGGCTTGGCTGGCAAGGTTCTCTTTCCCGACTCGGCCGAGTACACGGACCGCATGGAATCATATTGGTCCGTCAGCGCCGCTCTGAACCCGTGGTGTATTGCTCAGCCGTCAACTGCCGAGGACGTGTCTACTATCATCAAAACACTCGCTACTTTCAACTGCACGTTTGGCGTGCGTGGTGGGGGCCACGGGTCATTTGCGGGCTCCAACAGTGTTGAGGAGGGTGTCACAATCGATTTTGGCAATATGAATAGCACCATCTACGACAACAATACCAAACTTGCCTCCATCCAGCCCGGTGGCCACTGGCAGACCGTATACGACACGCTTGCACCTCACGGCGTCGTCGTGACCGGTGGCCGCGCCGGAACTGTCGGCACTGGTGGTTTCATCACCGGCGGTGGTAACTCACTTCACTCGGCATCTCACGGTTTTGCATGCGACACAGTCGCAAATTTCGAGGTTGTCCTCGCTGATGGCTCCATTGTCAACGCCAATGCCACCTCTAACCCTGATCTGTGGCAAGGCTTGAAAGGCAGTGGCGCCAACCTTGGCCTTGTCACTCGCTTCGACATGCATGTCATCGATTTCCCGGACCCCTCAAAGCCCGTCGTCTGGGGTGGCAAGCTCTATTACGATTTAGAGTCTGGACCTCAAGTCATTGATGCCTTTGTTGACTTCGTCGAAAACGTCCAAAAAGACGAAAACAGCTCTTCAATCGTTTATTGGGGCTATGTCCCCGCCAATGGTGGCATGTTCCTTAATGCTGCCATTCAGAACACTCTAGCCGAGGTCGCCCCTCCTGTCTTTGATGGATACTATACTGCTGGCAGTATCATTCGGGACACTACCAAGGTCGCCCTCATGTCAGTTGCTGCCAGTGAGCTTGGTTCTAACTCGCCTGGCGGCTTACGCAACGTGTGGTTCACCCTCGCCTTCGCCAACGATGCCCGTATCATGAACTACGCTGTCCAGAAATACTCGGCGTTGAACGAGGACCTGGAGAAGGCCATTGGCGCCTCTGGCTTCAACACTCTTTGCATGTTTCAGCCCATTACTAAGTCGATTGTCGACAAAGGCGTTGCCAATGGTGGCAATATTCTCGGCTTGGAACATTACATCGACAAAGGCAACGGCATCATGTTTCTCATTACGCTTGCTATCAATGGAGCTGACAACGAGACAACTGCCTTCCCTTACGTCCAAGATTTTGTGGAAGACGTTGAATCGTATGCTGCATCTCTTGACTTGGGCTGGGGTTGGAAATTCCTTAATTATGCACACAAGTTGCAAGATGCCATTTCATCCTACGGTGACCCTTCTATCGAGAAGCTAAGGGCTGCATCTGCCAAGTACGATCCAACAGGTGTTTTTCAGAACCTTCGTCAATCGGGCTTCAAAATTCCTCCTATCTAGATCGATATAATCAGTGTTGTTATTAATAGACACTGAGGGTTCTTCGCTGTTTATTCGTTTGTCACGCATATCTTCCTCATGGACTCGGGGGAGAACGGTTAATAATTGACTTACATCGTTTTTTATGTGTATTAATATGGTATCGGATACAGTTTCAGAATATGAGCGTGTCTGGTATTTGCTCCCTTTGTGGTCATACATCATGCACAAAACTAAGAGTTTGTTCAATCTAATTACGGGCTGCGCACCCAGTGCCATTACTAACTATTACTTCCCAGCGACTGGCATCTCGCGCAGCTGACTGCTTGGAACAAGGGAAGAGGACGGTATTTTGAACGGGTAAAAACAGATAGAAATCGAAGATAACATAGTTTTGAGAAATCAGCACGCCCCTCCTGCACATGCACATGGTAAACACCAAGACCAGTCGCAGCTCTCGCAACTACTACAACACCAACAGACGGCGCAAACTCCCTCAACACTGGTATCCGCTGTACCGGGGTTGCCATCCTGCGTCCCAATCGATGCCATGTTCTCCTCTACCTTATAAGTACCGTACACAATCCCAGCTCCGGCGCCAGCGCCAGCTAGTAGCCACCCGCTATTCTGCAACGTGTGCTGGAAGGATATGATAGCCTTCTCGGGGGTGATCTCGTGCAGCCTGTGGGACGGTATCTCGAGGCTCTCGGCGAACCAGTCGTAGTCCAAGGCACACCCGTCAGGCTTTTTGATGATGCAAGCAAAGTTCTTGAGGAGGTTTCGGCAGTCGTCGAACCCAAGCGCTTCCACTGCGATTGCTTTGCGTGCGGCTTCCCATTCGGCGTTGACTTCATCCTTGGTGAGAGTCGTCCAGCCAATCTGGCAGACGGTATAGTCTCGTGTGTGCCCCTTGTTCCGCGGCTTGGTGAGCTCCAGCGTTCGCAGCCGGTTTCTCTCTTCTCTCAGTGACCATGGTACCACCTTGGCCTCGTACTCGCGCGGGGGTTCAAAAGTGCTGCCCGGTACTTTTTCCCGTGACGGAATGCCGTCGGGTAGCCGGAGTGTGTATTTGTTGCCGTGCGTGATGATGGCCCAGTGCAGCTGGCATCCGTCTTCGACGCGTCGAGAAAACCACACCTGCTCGCCAGTCGTTGAGTCCTGTCCCTGCTTCTTCCGAAGCTGTACTCCCTCTTCCGTTCTCCTTTTCTGCTCCTCTTCTTGTCGTCTGGCTTTGACGGCCTCTTTATTGGCAAACATTGTAATACTGTGGTTCTTGTTATTATCACAGGAAGAGTAGATATAAGGTAAATATGTAATATTCGGCGATGCGTGTTATTATGGGGTTTCAACTGATGTGATTTTTGCTGGTTCCTAAGCACTAGGATCTTTCTCATGGAGTATTCGGCATGTATTAACTACTGAAATGCCAGACCTCCCCTGACGTCACACAACCTCAGCTTACGTCCAGTCAACTTTGCAGCGCCTAGCAAGTGGCCGCTTGGCCTTCATGTCTCGTATCACCAAGCTGACTGAGGTTCTTTTGGTAAGAGACTACGTCTACTTACAACTCGTAGGGGCTAGCGTTTGTCATGTTGCTACCGAACCACTAGCGCTCATTACATCATTGCTGATTTGTGATTTGTCTAAAGATTTATCTCCGAATATCCCTTCCACCTTTTGGTTGCTATCCTTCCGGGCGTTTTTGTGGAGAACAATTATGACATTCTGGCCAATGAATGAAGGCATCGTGGTGCTGCGCCAGACACGCATATATAGTACCGCTTTCCAATCAGTCGATGGATGGACTTTGAGGTGGTCAATCAGACAAGGGTCCGGATCAAACACAAAATCGGAACCGAGTGCTTATGTTACCAGGTGCGAAGCCTCAAGACCCTTGGCTATGCTTATCCATTGCGTAAATGAACACGTGAACCGCCATAGGGCACTGCCAAGGGCTGAACTATATAAAGTGGTTGTGATATGTGTAGCCGACGCAGTACGCCTGAAGGTTCCCACCAGCGTGAAAGCGTCCTAACCACTAACAAGTTGGTGACCACGTTGAACCTCCGAAAAAGAAGAGAAAATTTCAGCCGCATATGTCAGGTTTTTTTATTTTTCTTCAGGACGACGTCGTTCGGCGTTGGTCATGCATCGGCATAAACATCTAAGCAAGCCGGCATGAGACCGTTCCCCTGTTCCGATGCGGAGCCGGCCGGGAGATTCCCGGGGCATTTCGGACCGGGATTGCTGTTGTAAGGGGAGCGTAGCTTTCCTCCCGGTACGGCTACTTTTTTATCCCTATGGGGCCCTTCGACATTGCGCCGAGTGTCAAAGGATGGCAGATCATGTTCTGTCGTCCATTGCCTCCTCGTACTCCGCCGAGCAGTTCCCGTTTACCAATCTTGGGCTCGGCAAAGAGGTACAAGCTCAGTCGAACAACACTGATGTGCCCTGAATCGCTGTCGCAGTAAACTCTTTCCACAAAACCCCTGTATCCCTGACTTCCTTCGGGTACATACGACCATGAAAAACGACATGCCACCCCATTTAGACGCCTCCAAGCCAAGACGTCATATATGTGCACATGCCAGCATCCCTCTAGAGGCGCAGCTGTCAGCGTCCTTCTGTGACTTGGACGCTAAGAACCGCTGCGATTCGTGGAGGTCTAAGGCACTACCGGTACACATGTGGGCGCCCTGCCATCTCGCCCGCCGCTGTCACCCACGTGAGCGAAGGCAATTCCCCGACAGCGTCACACTAAAGTCGCCGATGCTCCGCTGACCATCGCCCTGCCCGTGAGAACCTACGACAGGGTCGCTGACCGGCGAGTGGCGATCAAGACGCAGCACGTCTTCGTTGCCAGATCGAGAAGGCCAATCGCCCGAGGACCCTCTCGTTCCGCAAACCTCACTGCCGGGCTCTGGGGTCGTCCACATGGAGCAGTTGGACAATGCGTCTAACGCTTTGGTGAGAGTCAACCGCCCCCCCTTCCCTTCCCTTACCCCCCTGACCCATCCGGGACACACTCTGTGGTGACCGGGCTCTTTTTTCCGCTGTCTGATGTGGTTTGGTTGGACGGCGGTATCTCGTTGCCCCAGAAGCGCTCTGTCAATGGTAGACCCTGCTTAGTCGGGAACAGAGACGGGAACACAAGCCGATGTATTATGGAAGTAAATTTCCGTAAATCCACAATGTGGAAAAGAAGGAAAGAAAAGAAAAAGAAGAAAACTGAAGCCGAGGAGAGGATATACTTCCTCTGTAGAAACTCCGAGGTATCATTGCCAGATGCGCCAATCCCCCGTATCGTCCGTCATACGATCCCACCTCTCTCTCCCTCTTCGGGGCAACCCATCGTCCCCGTTGTTGCTGAAATTCATCCCCCCCCCCCCGTACGCCGTATCGCCTGAAGAAACAGTTCCAACATGCATCAGGGATGGATTCAAGTCATACAAAATACACCCTCCCGTGTTATTCATGATGCCCAGCCGGGCACGTTAGAGCCCCCAGCCCCCTCTGCAACTTTGTGTGCTTTGCATCGCATTTGCATTGGCTCACCCGCGGGGTCTCGGAGAGCGGGGGCGAGAACTTACTCTATTCTTGGTAGATTCTGGGTATAATACAAAGGGAACTAGAAAAATGGCGTATTGATTCCGTCCTTCCTTCCCTGCCTCCGTCCCTCAAATCCTAGACTTGCCACCCGTCGGTTGCTGAAAGTCTGAATAGCGAGCTGGGAGGACAGAGACGGGCCAAGCGACCGTCGCGTCGTGCATGTCTGTCGTCTAACTCATCTCAATAGCCCCTCGATGCTTTCTCTTTCGTAATCAAGTCTTTGGTTTCTCATGTGCCGATCATATCCTCCAGAACGCCGTCCATCATTGTCTTGTGTCGTCAACAGGATTTGCAGCAATTGCCGTCCACTCCCATCTTTCATCCCAATGGCGACTCCCAAGCGTCGAAGCGTGTCGCCGCCTGCCCCGTCAAGCATGTTCCCTGTCTACCATCCCGTCTCGCACAAACTCGTCTAGGCCATCAGACGGTTCACGCCTCAATGTCCTCCTCGTCGAGGGGTTCGACCCTGACCAAAATCTCCTCCAAGAGTCCCTCTAGAAAGGTGCCCACATCCCTTCCCATGCCAACGGGCTCCGCCTTGTCATAGTGGTCAATCTCCTTGCACACATGGGCGAGCTTATATACAAGCTTGCGCAGTTTCTCGTGGGCCGCCTCCGCCCTTTGTTGCTTGGGAGTCACCTGGTTCATGGCGACAGTGCTAGACGAGCTCTGGTGGGGCCGGAAAACCTGCTGCAACCTGATTTGCCTCCTCTTCAACGCCTCTTCGAGCGCGGGGAAGATGACATCGTTGAGCGCGTCGAGCTCCCCATTCGGGCTGGACGGCGCGGGCGCAGGGAACGCAGACGGGGTCACCGGTTCCGGTGTGGGGATTTGTGTTTTGGAGGGCAGAGCATGAGTCTTGGGCAGAGGAGCCGGCGCCTGACCGGAGGGCTGGCGATATTGCTGCCCACCGGGCGGCTGGCTCGGTATCCTGATCGGCGCTTGCTGCGGTTGCGGGTTTCCGCGGTATGGTGGAATCTCTGGGAGGCTAATGGGTGTCACCTTGTTGTTGCTGTTGTTATTATTTGGCCGGGGCCCGTGGGGAGGCGGCCGCGGCGTCGTCTCCTCGGTTGGCGATTCCGCCGGCTGGATCACGGGGCCCAGACTCAGTAGGCCTATGTCCTTTTGCAGCTGGGCCTGCAGTTCGCGGTCATAGTCCGGAGACTGACTGACGGGAACGGCAGGTGGAATCAGACGCGAAATAGGCCGCGGTGTCTCTGGAGCTCTCTGAATCTTTTCCGCCGACGTTAGAAGGGGTGCCTTGGCCAGCGGTTGGGTCGCATTTGTCACCACGGGCTTTCGTTGGGGAGATGCCTGACGAGACGTCCCGGTGTTGGCGCTTGCTGCCTTGAGAGTATCCGAGGCTACGGCAAGTTCGCGACCGAAATCGCGAACCTTGGCAGCGCTGTTGTCTCTTGACTGCTCGCCGTAATCATCCGCGTTCTCCAAGGACCTGGCGGCTCTAGCGTTGGTGGCTGATTCGTCCAGGGCGCCGAGTCCCGGCCGGGCAACAACGCCACCACGGTCTCCGACAAGCCTTACGGTACCAAAGTCCCACATGTCCTCGTCAACCTGTTGGCGTTCATAGTACTCGTCGCCCCCTTGGTCGCTCTCCTCGTCGTCACCCTTGTGTGTCGCGGCCCACCGGGAGTGTCGTTCAATCAGCTCGGTAAGATAGCTCGTCTTCTTGGCGCGGCGTATAAAGGGGTGCTTCAGCAGATCCTTGGCCGTGGGCCGTTCCTTTGGGTCCCGTTGCAGGCACACCTCAACGAAATCCTTAAACGCTTTTGTAAAATTGCCCTCAAGGCGCGGTGGCGGGTTCTTGGGGATCAGAAAAAGCACCTTCATTGGGTGGATGTCGGCGTAGGGCGGCTCGCCGTTGGCAAGCTCCAGCGCGGTGATGCCGAGTGACCAGACGTCTGCTTTGTGATCATAGCCCGACTGCTTGATGACCTCGGGCGCCATCCAGAAAGGAGTGCCGACAAAGGTGTTCTTCTTGGTCATGGTGGCAGAGAGCTGGCCGGAGACGCCAAAGTCGGCAAGCTTGACCTGGCCATTGGAACTAAGGAGAACGTTTGCAGCTATCAAGAGTACGTTAGCATCTTGTCACCGAGACGAAGTGTCCTCGGCGCCCCGTTCTGGACTTACCCTTGACGTCGCGATGCAACTTCTTATCGGAGTGCAAGTAGTCGAGACCGAGGAGCAATTCGCGAATGATGATGGCAATGTAGTCTTCCCCAATCAGACCCGGCTTCATCAGGTCTGCACAGCTGCCCCCGGCGCAGAACTCCATGACAATCCATAGCTCGGCCCCCTTGGCGTAGGAGCCGTAGTATTTCGTGACATAGGGCGACTGCAGCTCAGACAGGATGGCGATCTCCTGGATGATGTCTTCGACCTCGTCTTCAGCGCTCTCTATGTCGATGATCTTAATGGCGACGGCATGGCCGGTGCGCCTGTCAACTCTGTAGGGAGGGATCGGTCAGCATTCTTTGATCAGGCTAGCGTGCGGGCTAGTCCCGCCGCGTGGGATTGTTGATTGTTGCTTACCCTTTGTAGACCTTGCCAAAACTTCCTCCGCCTTGAGAAAACTGAGTGTCAGCGAAGGTAGTAAGAGAGGCGTCCGGGGAGGGCGGCGCATACCGATGCAGTACTCCTTCGTATAGAGCAGGCTGGGGTCAAGGGCCTCGTTGCTCTCGTCGGCACCTCTTTCGCGATCACTCATGTTTGCAGTACACAGAAGGCGCCGAGCTCAGCTTGGCGCTATTTCGTAGGTTGGGCAATTGAATAGGTAGTAGAGTATGTCCTGAACAGAGTCGTGTGCGTGCTACGAGCGCAATGGCAGTATTGCGGTGGGAGGCTCGTCAGCAACGTACGGTCGCTGTGGCGGTTCGTAGGTGCCTCCCGACGGTTCGTCTCTCGTAGCGCCGACAAGAGAGGTCGTCCGGGAGATTCGAGTGTTGTTTGGGGCAAGAAAGCCTCGCTTTCTCGTCTGGATTTGGACTTTGGACTTGGGTGGAGTGGGGGGGGGGAGCAAGGAAGAGGTTGAAGAGGGGATCCCGGCGTTGGGGTTGAGCGAAGCGGCAGCAGGCGGTGGGGGAACAACGGCGGGATGCGATTGTCGTCGTTATCGAGCTGGAATGGAGCGTGCCTAAAAGAAGGGCCACGGGATCCGTCCGTTATGATATCGGTCGAGTACGCCGGAAGAAGAGATAATCTGGAAAGAGAAAAGTTAGCCGGGCTGCTGCTGAGCGTCGGGCTGGGCCTAACGGTGATTAGGTCCCAAGGGAAGGGGGGGGCGGCGGCGGCAGTCGTACGTCGGTCGTGTCGTTGCTTTGCCTCTTGTCTCTCGTTTTCTTCAAGGAGGCAGCAGAGGAATGGAATATTCCAATCAAGTTCCAGGTCTCGGTGAGACACCGTAAAGCGGGCCGGTGGGATTCGCGTTCCTCGCAAGTTGGGTGCACGTCTAGATGTGCTTAGACAACGTCAATGCCCCCAATTACACTAGGGAATCACCATGAAGCTAAACAAGCAGACAGAGCTCCAAGGTAAGATGAGGTGGTCGCAGCCTAAGCCTAAGGGAAGGGAGGGGGGGGGGGGGGGGGGGCCAGCGAAAAAAAGAAACAAAGTGAGAGTCGTGGGGTGCAATTGGCCAGCAGGGAAGAGAGTCCGTCCCGTCTCTGAAGTGTCAGTTGGTTGAATTGTGTGCGCGACTTCAGCCAGCCTAGATCATCTGGGCAAGAGGCTGTGACGGAGACAGGAAGCAAGATGAGGGAGGGAGGCACCTAACTAAGTAAGTAAGATAGGTAGGTACTTTGAGAGGAGAGAGACGGGCGGATGAATGAACATACACACGAGGCAGAGTGTGGGGTAATAGAGGCAGACCAGAACCAGACCTGAACCAGACCGGACTAGACGAAATGGCACAAAGAAGGAGGCGCGCTTATTTCCTTGACCCGTTCCTGGAAAGCAAACTTGACGGGGTTGCTGCGACTTTTCCCCCGCAAGTTCTGGTTCCAGACCGTTGTGAATGTTTGTGTGTGTGTGTGTGTGCGTGTGTGCGATGTGCGACTCCCCCCTCATTGGCCATTTCTCACCCAATGTTGACAGAAACCAATACAATACGGACTCGGTACCTTGGGTGCGCAACCGAGGGGTCGGTTCACCAGCAACCGTTGTTGTTGCTGTTGATCTCGACTTTCCCCCCTCCCTCCTCCACAAAGTAACCTACCATAGGTATGTACATACCTACTTACTTGAGCTCCCTGTCCAGTAAAACGTCGGCGGCCCCCCGGCAGCCAAAACAACGGCTATCACAAGCGAGTGTGCACAGACCACCTCTTCGTCTGTCAAATGCTTTGCACCTCCCAAAATCGTCCCTCTCGTCCGCGGTGACACGGCCCCGTCCGGGAACCCGTCCGCAATGCTCGACTGGGTGGCCACGCGACGCGCCACCGTCCTAACGAAGCTTAGGCTGCCCTCGCCATGAAACGCCCATACCTTTAAGGTAAACGTCGTCGACGTCGTCCTCTGGAACCGTGCCTCGTATGTCCCCGGGAAGTGGAACAAGTCGTCTGGGGATCGAGGCGCGCAACATGGATACCGGCACCTGCATCTGCACCTGCGCTAGCACATCTCTTGTTCACGTCTCACAAAAACTATCATCACATACATCCATCGTGTTTCCCGTGTTCGAGCTGTCTTGGCCTCCAGCTTCTATTGATGCCGTAATCGTCTACCCTTGGCTTGTCTTCCGAGGCACTCATCGGCCCCTTCTGCCCCTGTCTTGGCCGAACTGCATCCCTACCCGCCCTCGATGGCCACCAGCCGATGCCGTCACATTGTCATGGTCATGGTATGCGTGAGTAACGAAAGAAGAAAACAAAAATCCCAAACGAACGAACCCTCGAAATCAATGGGAAAAGCCTCCTCCCGCCAGTCCTGTACCCCATCTATTGGCCATGGCCGGGCACCCTCACTTCGGCCTTAGTGGGATGCATCTTTGCACCCCCCCCAAATGACATGTCGTCTCTCTGCCGCCGCTCACCCTCGCCACAATACCAAGGAGCCCCAAACTGAATCACTCATCGGGGTCTAGTCCTCGATGAACTCGATCATGACGGTTCCCTGCTTGAGCCCGGCCTCCAGGATGGTCTTTTCAAGCTCTTCAGCCAAGTCCTGGCCCTGGGGCATCCGCTTCAGCTCGAACTCGATGCCGTCCTTGCCCTCAAGCGGCTCGGCCTTGAGCCACTCGTAAATGCGCCTGACCGGGTCGTCCAGGTTGAATCGCCGGATGACTCGTCCGGTAGGATGACGGAACTGTATCCGCGTCGTCGTCGCCGGGTTGTTCTCGGGCTCCGTGTGCGGCTTGTCGCTAGCAATCTTGGCCCAGATGCTCGGCGGCGCTGCCGCCTCTGCCGCAGCGCCTGCTGCCTCGCCCTTGGGAGACTCTGACTTGGTCAGCGCGTCAGGATCGACCACGCTCGGCGTGGGCTTGGAGCTGCTGCCGCCGTTGGACGCCGCGAGGCTGTTCTGCAACGCCATCTCGAGCATCTCTTCCTCCGTCATCCGGTCAACGTCGACCGTCTTGGGCCGCGGCGCCGCCTGGTCCACCACGGGGTTCTTGCTGTTGGCCGCCAAGCTGTAGCGGTCCAGGAACTCGGCCAGCTGGGCGTGGAACTCAGAGGCGCTGGGGAATGGCCGTCCGCTCCACACCTTGACCTGCTCTCCTGTCCTCGGGTCGATGATGGCAACGTGCGGGTAGTTATCGGGGTTCTCGTGTCCGCTGCCGTGGAAGTAAAAGTTGATGTATTGCTGCGCCGCCATGGCGCTCCTGTCGTACTGAAGAAAGATGAAGCTCTCCTCCAGCAGCTGGCGAACTGCCGTGTCCTTCCAAATGTCCCGGTTCAGAGCCTGGCAGTTGAAATCGCTCATGTCTTGGAGGTTGACAATTATCCACTTCTTCTCGTCTTTGCCCTCCTGCCTCGCTTCGTCCCAGTCTAGTCTGGACATGATATCGTAGGGAGGTCGGAATAGTTCAGCGAGTCGCTGGGCACGGGCGCCGCCTTCGCTCGGGGCTGCCTGGGACGGTTGAGCAGGGGCCGGGCTGTCATCTTCCCAGATCGACAGGTTGTGGCTGAAAGGATTCCTAGAGCCGCCTGCATGCGTGCAACGTCAGTAACGGGAGCCGTCGGCTCAACACCTCGCCAGGAACGTACCTCGAGCAGCAGCTCTAGCCGCCTCTCTCTGCCTCATCTGCGCCCGGATAATGGTGTCCATGTCCACGCCGTCATCGCCTTCGTAACCTCCAACCAGCGTTTCTGTGGTTCTTGCAATGGGTGACCTGACGTCATCCTGACCACCGAGGACGCCGCCGCCGCCGCCACCGCCGCCGGAGCCACCTCCGTATAGCTCCTCCTGCAGTCTCTTAGCCATGGCGGCATCTTCCTCCTCCTGCGCGTTGCGGGCGATAGCCGCGACATCAGAGTCGTCTTGTCCAAAGTTATCGTCCATGTCATCGACCGTCATGGCGGTATCGCCATCGTCATCGCTGTCGATGTGAATGACGCCGCGGTCGTCTCGGCGTCCAACGTTGGGCCGGGTACTGGCGGGCACTGGGGGCGCTGTTGATGGAGTGGCAGCAGGCACCGTGTTGAAGCTGTTCTGGATGTCGGGGCTCTCAAAGAAGAGCTGGATGGCCTGTTCGAGGTTGTTGTTTGCCATCTCCAGGAAGCCGCGTGCGGCCTCTGGACTGGCAGCCGTAATGGCGACGAAGTTGGAGATGTCCTCGTCCATGATGAGGGGCTATGCCTGCCGAAAGCTGCAAGACCTTGGTGGGTAAAGTGTATCTTGCCTCGTGGGGAGGAGTACTTTGTCGTACGAGGTGGAAGAGAGAAGCTCGAGAAGGTGCTTGAGTCTTTGGTTTTTTGTTTTTTTTTTCCTTCTCCCAAGGTGGCGGTCTGAAAGATCCGTGGATGCAGGAAAGGCTCTAGAAGTCGATGGCACCTCTCCCTCCCTCTTTCTCTATCTCTCTCCTCTGCCCCACCTTGGCCCGCAAGTGCTAAAGTCCGGTGTGGGATACAGGGTGTGAGCGAGGGGTAGCTATAGGTGCGTTTATATTTTGTGTGGCTTGTGCGATGGCCTGTCCCTGAGTCGAGTTAACCGGGCACGTTGTCAGAAAAATAAATAAAAGGAAAGAACAAAACGGGAGAAGAAGGTCCAAAGCGAAAATAGGGACGTTGGATAGCTTGAGGTAAGGCGTGTCGTTGGGGTGAATGAACAAGGTTGGTTGATTTGCGCCACTGGTGATCTGAGATGGTAGACACAGGATGGTGTGTTTGCGGGCTGGTCCCGGCGCCAAACAGGTGCCGGTGCAGGTGCAGGTGCAGGCGCAGGGCCGCTATCGAAGGCGCCAGCTCGGTGACGCAACCGGGCAAAGGTGGAACGATAATGCGATGCGGCGACTGGCTGCGCCACGGCTACACGGGTTCTCGATCTGATTGTGGCTGGTGCCGCCCGCCTTGTCAGGTACCTACCTACCTAAATAGACAAAGGTACCTAGGTACCTTAGCTTCTTATACACCTCTCAGTTCTATAGACCACATCTAGAGATTGGGCTATTGACCTGGATGTTCAACATAGATACACTTCCAGTGCTTTCGGAAGAACTTGTCGACTCGATTCGGGCTGATTCTCACCAGTTGGCCTCTTGCGTCTTCCGTCATT